TGAAACGTCTCTTTATTGCATCAAGTATTGCACTGCACTAAAGGGATGGTTCTGGAGGAAGGAAGAAGCTTTAAAGACATATTTCTCTAGCCTATATGAGATGCCATAAGTGGAAAACCAAATGCTCCTACTTCTGATAATCTTAAAAAGTAAGCAGTGGATCTACTGCTGGCTTTACTAATGACTTAGGTCAACCAAGACTCGAAACAGGAGGGAAGCCACAAAAAGCACAACTGCAGTAAAACATGATGGCACGGGCTTTTCTGGGAGAGCACCAAGGCACCACATTTAAGATCTTCTCCGGTGTGATGAGTATCAGTCAATTTTACCTTGTTACAAGCAGGGGTTATCTGTAGATTGATTCTGAATCCTCACAAAGCTTATGGCAACCGATATGTGTGTTTGCACATGAACATGGGTTGTTTCTTGTGCATGGTTGGGGTGGGCAGGGGCATATCTGCTTACTGTATCTGCACGAACCAAGGGAATGCCATGTATAAGGGAGAGAAGAGATTCTATCTCAAACCACAAGATAGAATATAGTCCCAAAATTGTTCAAGGAAAGCCCAGACGATAAACAGTCTTTCATACCAGTGTCCCTCTGCTCAGGTGTTTTATAAAGAGCTGAGAAAGATTTTTGCCATAAAGTAGAGAGACTGCAACTTGCTTTCCTCATTCATAACCTTGTTTCAGTTAATCAAGATTCCAACCCTTGCATTTTCTAGAATAAATTATTTCCATAAGGAGCCTTTCTCTGACTAGTCCATGACGCAGCAGGCAAATTAGACACACCATTGCCTCCTTAGAGGCAGCAAATAAAGCAGTGTACACAGGCCACTGCTTTAGAGGAATTCGAGGGATGGGCAGAGGTTCAATGGAATCATCAAAGGCTAATTTAGGTGGAGAACCAACACCTGGCAGGGCTGAGAGAGTGCCCCTCTGGAGAAATACTTCCAAGCTTTAAAAGGTGTCAGCGCTGAACCACCTCTTGAACCACTGCAACTTTACTGACTACAAATCACACCCTCAATTGCAATGTAGAAATCCTGCCAGGAAACTCATCTGAGTGCTACCTGTAGTTTCCCAAAGTCTCTTATATGTCTTCCTATTCTGTTCTAAAGATACTTAAATGTGTGACTGATAAGGAAGTTGTTTGTTTTGTAAAATAGCAGTAGTGTTCAAGCATCACATCCCATAAAGCTATCTGAAGCTGAGCAGCCACAAACTTCAGTGCCTTAAACTCAATAGTGGCTCTGGAACATAGAGGAACGATTAAGCACAAAACAAAAAAAACAAAGCAGCCTATGAAGAGGCCAAAATGGCATAGACTTGTTACAGCAATGCACACATTAAATGCTGCTTTACAAAACTGTCATTTATTAGCTTACTTCAGTCCTTTATTTTAATACCTACATCTGTATTATTTCTAGATAAATAAGTACCTTTAGAGACAGATAGTGGTGGCATACATTTAAAAAGAAAAAAGCCTAACCATGTTCTTCAGCTAAAAAGAAAAAGAAAGAAAGTTGTATTTTTCTCTCTGGTTAGAGGTGGATGGATGGACAGACTGTTATCTTAGATCTGTACAGTACTTACATAATTTCCATTAAATGCCATCCAACCAATCTTGGATTTCAAAATCCCTCTATATCTCTCCAGTTTGCTTTCCCCATTCCTTTTTTCCTTCCTCTGTGGAACTAACACGTCACTATGTTTAAGGGAGGCATGTTCTAAGAGGTTATTAAAATCCATCATTCCATACTAGAATGGAGAACTCTTTTATTAGGTGACCTGACCCAGAGCTACTGAAAAAGTTCAGGTCTCACATTTTCTATGCTGCTTGTTAGTTCTCCACTAGGATATGAGAGATGGATGTGTACGGGAAATGTGGGAATGAAGCAGAACATCCTGTAGGATATCCCAGAAAAGGCAATCAGGCCAAGGCTCCTATTTCTTGCTATTGTTTAAGTTACCTAAAACTCTACCAAAAAGAGACACATTTGACTTAAATAGCACTCACAGACTTTATTTTGGGACAGGATGTAGTATATGAATTCTAATGCTACGATTTGGTACATTAGCAATCCCTTAGCTGCTTTAAATGACCTGAGCTGGGACTCATCTGCTGAAGGCTTGATAATCAGTAGCTTCTTTGCAATTGTCTCAGAATAACACTACTGACTTCCCTGGAGTAAATCTGGATTTATATGTGTCTGAAGGAGGGCAGGATCAGATCCAAATCAGCTAAAAACTCTAACAATTAGAGCATCTGCTGAATACTAATAACAGAAGGATCTGCATACAAGGTAACAAAGAATCAAGTGAAAGACAGCCTATCACTGTGAAATAGCACGAGAAAAAGGATTAAGAAATTGAGACGGGAACCCCCAAGAGAGGCAGGGAACCCCCAAGAGAGGCAAGGAACCCAGGCGATGTCACAGGCTTACCGCAAGTGGCCAGCTCACGCAATTGAGCTTCCTGTAGACCCTGAAGATGTGGGTAATGTAGAAGAACAAAATCATAACCAAATCGCACATGGTGACAATCTGAAAGAAGCTGTATGCACTGTAATCTGTCCATGAAGAATTATTTACACTGATGAATCCAATCAGCAGTGAGATCTGGAAGACAAAATGTGCATTAAAGATTTTTACAGTGGTGCTCAGAGGGTTGTGAAGATGATTTTAAGCAGAACAAAATGGCACTTAGAAACATAAGACAAATATCTAACGTAAATTGGATGGTCCCAACAAAATGGAGGACAAAGTAATGAGCATGATAATGATGTTTTATAATTTGCTGACAAATGAGGTGAAGCAACCATCAAGAGTGGGGAAAGGGCCAACTGCCAGAAGGAATGCAGCAGTTTCAGCCTGAAGAACCCAATCTGAAGAAGTCTCTATGTACAAAAGAAGAGGTCTCAAATAGAGAAAAAGAACTGAATGCCTGGAGATGCACCAGCGACTGAAGCATCTAAACCCCATGGACTTTCAGAAGGAAATAACTGAAAGCTGTAAAAATTGAGGTGTCCATGAGCAGATGCACCTTTACTTTCATTTAGTGACACTTCTCACATGCAAAAGCGGATGGCCTGGCTGCAACTGAGCTAAACAGTTTTACTCTTCCTTTTCTACCACTTACAGAGCAGGAGTATTAAAGCATTGTAAGGCAGCATCATAGCAAATAATATAAACATTTGGGGGAATTGATTAATTCACCCCACCCCCAAAGCTTTAATATGTTAACGCTGCCACATAAAAGTATAAAGCTTCTGTACAACTTCCGTCAGCTGTACACTTGCAAAGGACAAAAGCTATTTCATTTTTTTTAAATATGAAACTACTTGTTTAGTTTACTAATCTTGCTGCTTCCACCAGCCTGGCTAACCCGGGTGATCAAAATAAATCTACTAAAAACAAATATACTAAAATATTTTCTTATTACAGACTTCGTCAATGCATGCTTTCAGCCACTGTAATTTTTAGCTCATCTAAAGTCAATCGGAAGAAGTAATGATTCACACTTTAAGTGTTTCTCCTAGACATTCAAAAACTATCTGAGGAAGCCAGAACCTTAAGACTACAACATCCTTTCCTGCACACTCATCTTCCAAACTCCTAACCAACTGCATTCATTATCAGAATAATTTCCTTAAGATTAAAAGAGACAAAAAAAAACAAAACAACAAAAAACAACAAACCAACACCCAAACAACATAGCTTAGATTATCCCTGCTGCAGTGTTAACCAAGTTTCACCTGCTCAGTTCTAAGTGGACAGGTTAAATATACGCATACATGAGGGCAACCAAAAGCTATATACACACAAAAGAACTTCACAAGAACTTGTCGCCTTGACCAAACTCCATCCAAACAGCCACATCAATGTCTTGACAGTGAACCACCTTGAAAAGCTGGCTTCAAAGAGAAAAGTCAGTGTTCCAGATTCTTTCCCACACAAGTGGCTAAGCTATTGTCAGACCTGGTCCAGCTCCATTATTTTTACTGTGTTTGTCCAAGTAGTTGATATTAACATTGTCAGTTCAAGATAGTCATGGGATTCTGCACCACAGTGAGCCTACATCTCCTCTCACCTTTGGAAGTGACACAGGACTTGGAGATGCAGGGTTAGATCATACTTTGTGCTTCTCAAGGATGGAGGTCACAGGTGTCTTTGAATATGCTTGATAATGCTCAGTCCCTGTCTCCCCAGATGTGTTCCTGCCCTCTGGTTTGGGAGTGTAACATCAGAGCAGCATCCTGCACGTTCAGTGCTCCTGTCTGTACCACACCTCACCTCTGGGTCTCACTGCCTCACCACTGGGGAATCCTAAATGCACAAAGTCTTGCACCTTGTGCATGGCAGAGCTTTCTAATATGCTTCATTTCTTAGAAGACAACAAAGCAATGCTCTCCACAATTCAGCATTTAAAGAACTCTGGTCGAGTTCTTCAATTCTGAAGTAATTTGGATGCAGTTTTGTCCAGTCTGTGTCTACATACAGCAGGTCTACATTAAGCAGTGGTTTCATGAGGGACCAGGGCACCTGTCATCTTCTCCTTCCCACCCTGATTTCTTTCCCTGTTAATGTACTGGCTCCTCCATTCATCTGTGCTGAGCCATCTTAGTGTACAAAGCTAGCAGAAAAGTGAACTACTGAAAAAAGGCTTTACTCTGACTCAGCCATCACACAAGGCAGGGTCAGGTGAGCAAGGGAGTGTGAGGGAGAAGTAAGGACTTCCACAGAAAAGACAGGAAGGTCTGAGCAGGCAGGATGGCAGTAGGGAGTACCATGCTGGCTCAGGCTGCCACAGACTATGCATCTCAGTCCCTTGAATCTTAATGTTAGTTAAGAAGAGTTGTCTGAATTAGCCATTGAATAACTTGAACAATCAGAAGGAGATCATTTGCCCTATAATGTAGGAGAACACTTGAAGTGATGCAAGACACAGCTATTATTTTCATAATTTAAAACTGAATTTAATGAAATTTCATTCCATAGGAAGACTCAACGAGAAGTCACAGCAAGCACTGAGCCTTGCTCTTGGATAAAGGTGAGATGAGGACAGTACTTCCCTAATCACCAAAGGCTAGAAAGGGTCTCCCTTATTCAGGTGTCTTCAGTTCCCAGTTTCAATTACACTGTACAAATCAAGAAAGAAGTGTTAATTCACAGAAATATTAAATCTGCCTAGTGGCTCATTTCATGCATGAACAATTAACTTTAGCAACTTTTTTCACGGTGTACAAAGGATAAGGTGGGCGGGATCCTTGAAGTACAATCACCATCCAAATAATTAAAACCACTGGAAAAAACCCCCATTTAGTTTAAACTAGATCCAGTTCTTTCTATTTCATGGAAGCATAAAAGTATTTTTCTTTTCAGTTAAAAGGTATAAAAAGCTGAGAAGAAGCATAAAGAAGAATGTGAGCTGTCCAAGAACAGAAAATTCATCTGAGGTGTTATATTCCTCAGAAATAGGAAAATACAAGGTTCCAACCACTCAGTGAAGAATCTGCTCAGCTCCTGAAGATGGAGTAGAACCGTGGATTTCAAGACTACTTCACAATTAAAACAACTCCAAAACTAATTAGCAAAGATTCTTCCTTCTTTGATTTTAGATGTGCCTCAGCACACAGGTAGGAAGAAACCATGGCAAGAGGTATTTCTTTCAATGTTTAGTTTCTTAGCATAAATTTTGCAACATGAGACTTACCTGCAATTTCTAAAGAGAGTCATCTGATCAGAGGCACACAATTCCGTTTCACAGGACAGGTGCAAAGGGGACCCTATAAACAACTTTATAAAAGCTGTCTGCCACACTATTATTGCCAGCCTGCATGGCTGGCAGGTACAGACAGAGTTTAAAACTCACATGTTGAAAAAGAATGCTAACAAATGTAGAGCCACATAATATCATTTGTCCTTTAAAAGTGACAAACACTGAACTTCCTTCACCAGATATTGGTTTATCACAATATATACTGGGTGATGACTGTATTTTTTTCCCCCTCTGGGATTCCTGTTTCCAGAGGTTAGAGTGATAAAATGATTAATATGTAACTGTCTGGAATACAGTTCAACATAGAAGTCAGTTTGTGACAGAGAGAGAGAGAGAAACGAATGGCAAAGCACTAAAGTGATCAAATGTTACGACTGCTCTTTATGCATCTGTCCTCAGGGGAGAAGGTTAATACACCTCAAAAATAAAAACTGGGGGCACAAAAAAAGCCAGGGCACTGCTATTTCCCTTTCAATATAGCATTTCACAGATTGTGAGAGCAACACACATGTAACAAACAGCCAGCAAGGCAGTGTGACCAGAAGTACAGGTCAAATGATGGTCAGTCTCATTAGAAGATTTCAATGTGCTCCACAATATATACCCAGGCTCCAGACCTGCATTACAAAAGGGGTGAGGGACACATTGCAGGACAACACTATTTCAGTGCTTTCTGGTTTCTGAGAAGCAAAACAAAAAACATACACATCAATCAACTCCAAGGAGGGATTTTTGGATTTCAATAAAGTTCTGTATTTACTCTGTTTTACAGAAGTTGACTGGCTTAAAATAATCCACTTCTTGACTTTACTTTGGACCAGATTTTTGAAGTAAGTCATGAAGCGTGTTTAGAGACACTGGTATATATCAGGAACTATCTCACAGCTAAAGGCAGTCAGGCAATTGCCATGAGGCACTCAATGCCTTACCAGATAGAAAAGACATAAAATCTGCAAGATTCTTACAGAGTAATTCTGCATTCTCTTCTCTATTTTGAGCTGGAGATGAGGTAACCACATCCTCTGCAATGTTCCTGTAGAAAATGTTGGCTCTTGAATGACACTGAATGTTCCCAAGCCTAAATTCCATTTTGATTTGAAGTTAACTCAGCTCTACCAAAGAATGAAACATAATTTGTTCTTTCCTGATATGGTCTTCTTCCTAAAGCTGCCCAAGATGCTGCTGGCCACCTTCACCACCAAAGCACATTGTTGGCTCATGGTCAGCTTCTAGTCTCCCAAGATTCCAAGGTCTTCCCTGCAGAACTGCTTTCCAGTCAGATGGCCTGCACTCTGTACTGGTGCAGAGGGGCTTACCCTCAGATATCCCCGGATATAGGACTTGGCATTTCTCTGTGCTGAACTTGATGAGATTCCTACCTGTCCGGACTGTCAGGGTCCCTCTCCACGACAGCACAACCCTCTGGCTCATCAGCCACTCACAGTTTTTTTTATCACCTACAAATTTTCCAGGAGTGCACTCTGCCCCATCATCCAGGTCATTAATGAAGATGTGAAACAGTACCAGCCGCAGCATCGACCCCTGGGGTGCACCATTAATGACTGGCCTCAAAGGACTTTGTACCATGACCTTTTGCAACACTCTGCCATTCAGACACATTTTAATCCATCTCACTGCCCCCTTCTCTAATCCATACCCTGTCAGCTTGTCTGTGAGGATGTTATGGGAGACCATAGCCTTACTAAGATCGAGGTAAACAACACCCATCACTCTTCCCTTGTCTACCAGGCTAGTCTCCTCACTACAAAAGGCAGTAAGGCTGGTCAAGCATGATTTCCCCTTTGTAAATCCATGCTGACTGCTCCTGATCACCTTCTTGTCCTTCATGTGTTTGGAAATCCTTTCCAGGAGGATTTTCTTCATCATCTCCCAGGGGCTGAGGTGAAGATGACCAATTTGTAATTCCCTGAATCCTCCTTCCTTTTCATAGACATTACATCAGTCTGTTCAGAATGGCACACTTTCCTTCTGTACTTCTCAGGCTAAAGAGGAGAGGGAAGGACTGGACAAGAGTGATAAATTCTCTTTCCCTGTGCTACAAAATGCTACTTGAAGTGTTCCCCGGAAATGCTGTTTCTTTTTTAAAAATCAGCTGGTTTTCTCCTTATTTCTTCTTGTCCCTGACAAAGAATGAGCATCTGAAGTCCATTGATCACTATTACACTCAGTAAAAACCAAGGAAAATGTGTATCAAGACTTCAAGGAAGTAAATCTTCCACTTCAGGAAAATTCAACACCTTCTTAAGGAAAGGACAAGAATCACACCTTTGTATTAAGAAGAGATTATATATGGCAAGAAGATCCGACTTCCAGTGACTCCTAAGGCAAATGCATACTGGAGAAAAGGCCCATAGTATTAGGCCCAGATACTGTTGTACTTCTGATTTCAGATGGTTTGAGTTCCATCTAACTCCCTGTGCTCACTCCTTGCTGGCTATAGTCCCGCAGATACAATTAGGTTACAGGGAAAGCTGAGCTCCAAACATCCTAGCTTCCCAGGAGTGGGCTGGCCATGATGGTGGGACTCAGAGCAAGCCAGAAACACAACCCTCAGCCTCCCTGGTGGCTAGATCTTCCTGCAGTTTCCAGTCCTGTCATCAGCCCCAGAGGTCACAGTGAAACTGCCCAAGAGCTGCCTTCATCTCCAGACTAATGGGCTTTGCTTCCCTTCACTAACACTGGATCCTGCTGGAATGCACAGCAAGGATGGAAAAGCTTGGGTGGCCCAAACCTGCAAGTTCAAAGAAGCCTAATAGAGAATCACCTGCTGTAAGGAAGGGGCAGAGATGCATGCCCACCAGTCAAGAGATTACAGGTACAATTTTCCTCACTAGTGCCCTGCAGGTAACAAAGGAAAGGATTTGTTTTGCTCTCCATGTTACCTACAGTCCAGCTGGCACCACTAAGCATTTTCTGCTCAGTAGAAGACTGTAGTTTATCTGACCACAGAACAGTTTTATAACCCAGGAATCAATCTGTGCAAGTGCTTTGTATGATCTTTTTCTGCTGTCCTGCTCTAATGGATGTCATAAATAAAGCTCTGACTTTACTACCAATATTTAATTCTTTTGTAATGTTTGGAGAGAACTAAATTTTCCTCAGATGCAGCTACCTGCACAAACATAAATCCAGCAAGATCTCCAATACTGACAGGAACCGACTCTAAAGGAAAGCCTAAGGTTCTGAGCATGAGAGGCCCATTTCCACAGGCAAACACTGACACAACAAGGGAGGAATTAAAAGTCACTGGCTCTTTCACTGACCTGTTTTGTAACCAGTCTGAACTTCAGTAAATCACGTATTTCACTGCTTCAGCTCCCCCATTTTTCAAGTGAGGACTAATAAAGACTTTACATGCATTTGCTGAAGGTTTTTGCCCTCAAAACACTTTAGACATGTAAAATAAGGTAAAAATTTTGAGCATGACTAATAAACATCTAGGGCAAGATGACTGTTTTCCTTTACAGTATGAATGAGAATAGATGCCCACCAAAAAGAAAAACCAAATGATAAACACCCCACCCTTCTTCCCCCTGTCCTCCCCTCCAAAAGCCCAAACCAACAATCAACAGATCACAGATGTAACAGACAAGCATACGGGAAAATCATCTGAGGAGAAAGCCACAGAACAAGCAAACAGTAGCAAAAGGTTGGTCTTCCGAGACTTGCTTTGTGGTCAATCTGTGGCTACCACAGAACAAAAGATAAATAAAAATGAGAGCCCTAGCTCACTGTAAAATGGAAATTAGTATTTTTTTTTCCTATCTGTCATTTATTTACTTACAATAGACTGTGATCAGGTTTTGCAAAAAACCCCGCCATGCAGAAAACATGGCAAATAAATTGTTTTCTAACTGGAAGTGTAATCTTTAAAGCTTGGACTACTTTACCAGTCATCCTCTTGACCATCCCTGAGTGCTCTGTACCGCACATTATCACTCACTCATACCCAGCTGTTCTTTCCCAATTCTATTAATGACTGTGAAGCAGAGGTTACCCTTTCCCACTGCGCCTGTGTACAGCAGTGGTGTGCTGGGTGTGGGTGCGATATAAGCTGCCTTCACAGCAGCTTGTGTGGTGCTGGGCTTTCTGTGGTTAAAACGTGTCAATAACACATCAGTGTTTCGGCTGCTGCTGAACACTGCTTGCACAGCAGCAACACCTGCTTTCTCCTCCCTCCCCCTACCCTAAAGCAGGCTCACAAGTAGGCAAGTCACAGCTGGCTCAACTGAACAATGGGATTTTTCAGACCATGATGTTGTGTTCAGTGATAAAAACTCAGGAAAAGGAGGTTTAAGGGGAAACATTTTAGGTTATGGTGTTCCTCTTCCGAAGCAATCATTGCACCCAGAATCAGACTCACAGAATGGTTTAGGTTGGAAAGGACCTTAAAGACCATCTATTTACAACTCACCAACCATAGGCAGGGACACCTTCCAGTAGACCAAGTTGCTCAGAGCCCCATCTAGCCTGGCCTTGGACACTTTTGTCAATGGGGAGTAGTGAATTAATTTATTGCTTTGCTTGTGTGTGCAGCTTTTGCTTTCCTTATAAAACTGTCATTATCTTGATCCAGGGGTCTTTTTGCCTTCCTTCTATTTTCTCCCCATCCGACAGGGGAGGAGAGTGAG